CTCTCTCTCTCTCTCTCTCTCTTTCTCTGGTAGGTCCCTCCCCCTCCCTCTCTCTCTATTTCTTTCTCTCTCTCACACTCATAACAATAAATGGAACAAAACTCTCTCTCTCTCTCTCTCTCTCTCTCTCTCTCTCTCTCTCTCGTGTTAGCTCTTAGTCTCATTGATTTGGCTACCTTAGGGCTGCGTTCCCCGCGCCCACGCGGTAGACAATCAATCATCTTTCCAGGATAAACACTAAATAAATGCAGACGCCGAAGCCCACTATACCGCAGCCTTAGGGCTGCGAACAATGGGCTGTGCTCACCAGCCAAGGGCCTTTGGGACCAGGTACATGTGTAACTTGGCGGACTGGAAAAGTATGGCACAGGGTCTGGGTATAGATGCAAGTCGGACGCTGGGAGTGGGTGCAGCGGGAATTCCCATATTTGAACCGGTTGCAGATGCAATTTTTCCAAAAAAGAAAGAGCTAATTTCTGGGACAGGGACTGGCACTGCCCATTGTGTGGAGCCGTCGGGCCCGTTCGTCGCACCGAAAACCAGTGCTGAACAACCGCCTACCCGTTTCTGGTCCAACGTCCCCGCGCCCATCCTTTTGCGGAGCGAACGAGGCGTGTCTCTCGTAATAAGTCCTTCCGGGCTGGTGTTGAGGAGTCCACGCAATTTTACGCAATTATTACGACAATCCCGCAGGTCTTAGCAAAGAGGAATTTCTGAGAAGATCTGCAGTTCAAGTTCGTGGAGGACAACCCTAAGAGAAGTTCTCCGCAGTTCAGTTTAATAAGGCGCACACACACAACACACAACACACACAACACAGCATGATACTCTCACTACCAGTGGGCGCTTTTCACACACAGACACAGAAGGGGGGAGAGAGAGTGAGGAGGCAAGGGTGAGTAAGAGGAGTGTTGAGCGCACTTGTCAAGAAAGAGACTTCGCGGGGGGCTAACATTCGGCAGTGGAATGAACGATTGATCAGCGATGAATAATTTGCGAGTGCACTCCGTTTCGCCATCGACGACAACTCCTGTGGCTCCGCCGATCGCTACGCGCGGTGGAGAGCAGCAGGCAGTGCCCAGAGTGAGGACCGGGCTGAATAATCACAGAGTGGGTGACGGATCGCGTAGTCTGAGCATCACGGCGTTTAGCTCAGGCGTTTCCAGCCCTACCCGTTTCCTTGCTGCCTCCTCCGCATCCTTCAAGGCGGGAGGACCATTTGTGAATGTTGACTTGCCKGCCGAAACCAATAAGAACACGTCATGGACGCAATACCCAGGAGTATGGACCTCCTACATCATGATTGTACTCTTTTCGTTCTGGCTTGTACTTGCTGCCCTCCAGTGTGACATCGGAACAGCATGGAATGTTGTGCATTCCATCCACTTCGCGGTGAGTGATCCTTTCCTCATCTCCTTCCTCCTCGCTATCTCCTCTCTTCCTTCTTTCTACCTCCTCTCTTCCTTCACTCTGTCTTCTCTCTTCCTTCTTCTCACTTCCTTCTCTCTTCCTTCTTCTCTCTTCCTTCTTCTCTCTTCCTTCTTCTCTTCCTTCTCTTCGCTACGTTCCGATGGGACGTTGCCCCGGCCTGTTGCCGGGTCCCTTGATTGGCTATCGATCTGGATCTCGATCTGACTCTTGTCTCTATTTTGAAAGCCTTCTAGGTCGAGAAGATAGGATGAGTGTCGCGCGATTATCGCGTGGCTGATGCGTATGTTCCCCTGGTTCGTTGGCAGTTGGTTGATTGAGCGTGCACATCGTCAGTGGGTCGAGGTCCCGGCATCAGGTCGGGTGGGTGCGCGCTAAGAGTTATGTAAACCGGTGCATAACGAGGCGCCAAAGGCCAAGTACCGCGGGAGGCTGACCAGGTCGTACGAGCAAATACCTGACGGTTGATTCTCTATCCATCCGATGTAAACAATCACTCGAAAAGGTGGCCATCAGATCTCGAGACCTACGCCTACGCATGTGTCTATAATCTAATCGAGGCATGTGGTAACAAATTGAAGAGCGGCGGCGGGGTCTCTTCTTTGAGGTCGCTTGGATGACAGCTCAGCGAGACGACAGCTCAGATTCCTAGACGTGATTCGAAGGATGTGATGATGGACGGTTTCGTGAACAATGAAGGAGAGTGGGGGAGGGGGAATAAGTTGGTGGAGGAAGCAGAGGAAGACAGCACGCTCGCTCATATGCCCGATGTACCATCGATTCGCACTCAATCTCACTGCTTGCTTGCTGATTTTGATGGAAAAAAAAAAGAAAAGAAAAGAAAGGTGCGAAGCAATGAGACCTACGTATTAGCATTGTTGGCAGTTGAATTTGTCAAGGTAGTTGTTAGTTCATTTGCCTTCTTGGGAATCATTCATGTGATGGAAGGTAGTTGTTAGTTCATTTGCCTTCTTGGGAATCATTCATGTGATGGAGGTCGTTTTGATCTTCACTGTCGACGTGACGGTACGTTCTTATTATTTGGCTGATGATTGGTCGGTGGGTGCCAATCGAGCGATGCATTGGTTGATGATGCTGTTGAGTCCCGGATCTGTTTTAGTGGCTGCTGCTGCTGAATTCCGAGCGCAATTGATTAATTAGCTCGTAGAGGTGATTGATGGGTGGTGGATCATGGAAAGCGATTGATGGGTGATGGATCATCGGCGCGATTGATGGATGATGTGGATCCTCGACGTGATTGATGGGTGCTGTGGATCATCGACGCGTGGATCGTCGACGGGATTGATGGGTGGCAGATCATCGTCATCGATGATTGGATCATCGACATGATTGATGGTTGGTGTGGATCATCGACGTCGATGATTGGATCATCGACATGATTGAGATTGATGGGTGGTGCGGATCATGGACGTGATTGATAATTGCTGGTTCATCGACGCGTGGATCGTCGAGGGGAATTGATGGGTAGTGGATCGTCGACGTCGATGATTGATCATCAATCGTAGGTGATTGATCGGTTAATTGATTGGCTGGTGTTGTCGGCTAGTTGACTGGCGGTAATTGTTTTCTGGAATTGTTTTACGGGCTGTTTGTTGGATTTTGCTTGGTGGATCTCGATTATTTGACTGGTAGAGCTGATTGATGGGTGCTATAGTGGGTGGTATCTCCGAAGAAAATCGTCAATCCTGGTTGATTAATTGGTTAATTCACTGGCGGATTGCTTGATCGACTGATCGGTTTGTTGCTTGATTGATGGAATCGGTAGAGTGGTGGTTACAGAGGCTGATAAGTCGAGCGGATTGATTTGGTTGATTGCCGAATGGCAATCAAATGACCTTCGCCTATTTCTTTCGGGTATAGATCCTCCTCCTTCAGCTCGCTATTCTCTTGCTACTTTGCGCGACGGGCCCGGATGGAAACGATCGACCCTACCCTTCTTCCCCCGAATACAACGTATGGTCATTATAGCTGTATTTGGGGTGTCTTACAGTCTAATTATAGCTACAATGACCGTCCGTTGTATTCGGGGGAAGAAGGGTACTGATCAGAGGCTACGCTGTAGGTCCGATTGATCGATTGATTAAATCCCCCCCCATCGAACCGATGGCGGTATGGATCGATCGGAAGGCAGGAGAGGGTTTCAAAGAAATCAAAGAAAGGGGTGCTATTGATGTAGCGAATGAGGGCACGATACGTGAACAAACGATGCTAAGGGAGGGGTTCGGTCGCGGAAGGAGGTGGAGAAGGAGAGAGAGAGTTAGGGGGAGACAGGCAAAGAGAGGTTGGGAGAGAAAGAGGGAGAATGGAGAGACCGGGGAGTGTGGCAAAGGGAGGGAGCGGTGAGAGAATGATGGGAAAGAGAGTGCTTTTGAAAAACTCAGAAGAGCTCGGTACGCAACGAGGAGCTCTTCTGTATGTCTCTTTCCCTGGCTCGTTTATTCGCCCATTAATACAGGACATAGGATGCAGGGTTGTACAATTGCTGTCACCAAAAGAGCACATGCTGAGGGGGTAGAGACTGATCAGGTTGGAAAGGTTATACTACTAGATATTGGCAGGTCTGCAGGTCGGGGGTACAAGAAGATGGTAGAGAGGGTTGAGAGAGTGGGCAGATAGGTAAGGGAGAAAAATAATCTATGGGTAAAGAAGTCGATGAAAAGGAAAAAGAAGACGGACAACAAGTGAAAACAGAAGATGCATTTCAGCTTGGAATTGGCTTGTCTTTTTTGTGGTGGTGATAGTAATGATGATGACAAGGACGGTGGCGATGATGATGATGATGATGATGATGATGATGGTGATGATGGTGATGATGGTGATGGTGATGATGACATGTAATAGCACAGGGCGGATCAGGGATGAAGCTAAGGGGAACCTACCGTCTTCACCCGAATAGAACGCCCGGTCATTATAGCTGTATTTTGCACAACTTTCCGTCCCGATGCGGCAATAATGACCGGGCGTTCTATTCGGGTGACGAGGTTTAGAAAATTGTCAAGCTATGGTCGGCCCAGCCAGCTGGAATAGCAACAAAAGAACAGAGAGAAAGATTCTGTTAGCGTTCTTTTTAGGCCCTGAGAGTCTGCTTATGGCTGTGTAGATGGGTTCCTATCCAGTGCTATATGATAGAGGGCAAGCTGATGCAAAAGAAGGCGTTGGAAGATGTGTTTTGTTTCGAGGTCATGCAGCGAGTGATGTGTGATGTGAGCGGCTGTCGCGGCAACCAAGTTTTTTTTTCCCGTAAAGCCGTCTGAAGCCGTCCGATTGTCTGTGCCAAGGTTGGCTGCCAGAAGATTCGCGCTATTAGATTAATATCTGCCATCAGATTGTCTGCCAGGAGAAGCTTCTTCTGGCAGTGAACCTCCCTCGGGATTGACGATTGGCCTAGCTCAGCAGGTACACCTTTGATTGAACTGTTGCAATACAGACCAGAGTTTTAACTCCAGTGGAAGCAGATGAGTAAAATATATGTGACAAATGACATTGGATTCGCGTTATTAGATTAATATCCACCATCAGATTGTCTGGCAGGAGAAGCTTCTTCCGGCAGTGAACCTCGGGATTCACGATTGGCCTAGCGCAGTAGGTACACCTTTGAACTGCTGCAATACAGACCAGAGTTTTAACTCCAGTGGAAGCAGATGAGTAAAATATATGTGACAAATGAATGACATCATTAAGGAACTACTCCATGAGAAGCTTCTTCTGGAAGTGTACCTCGGGATTGACGATTCTTGAAATGACATAATCACCAACTGGCCTAGCTCAGTAGGTACACCTTTGTTTGAACTGTTGAAATACAGACCTGAGTTCTTAACTCCAGTGGAAGCAGAGAAGTAAATTATACTAGTAAATGGCATCATCAAGGTTGGATTCGCGCTATTAGATTATCTACCATCAGATTGTCTGCCAGGGAGAAGCTTCTTCTGGCAGTGAACCTTGGGTCATGGAGGCAGTAGGTTCAGTGAACATGGGGGATTGCGATTGTGCAAATGGCATCATCAAAGTCGGACATTGAACAGGCCAACGAAAAAGGCTGGTGAAAGATCTATCAGTAAGATCAGCTAGGTCAGCCCTAGCTTAGCAGGTAAATACTAAATACACCCCTTGCTTGAATTGTTGAAACACAGACCTGAGTTCGAACTCCAGTGGAAGCAGATATAAGTAAAATATACTTGTCAAATGACATCATCAAAGTCGGACATTGAACAGGCCAACGAAAAAGGGGCGGATGAAAGATCTATCAGGAAGATCAGCTGTCAATCACGAGGTCAGCTCTGAGAATAATTGAGTTGAGTGATTGAGGTCAGCTCTCAGAATAGTGGAGTGTATGTTTGGAACTCAGGTCTTCTGGTTGCTCACCTTGCTCTTTGTTGTGTGTTACCTTCTTCCCCCGAATACAACGAACGGTCATTTTAGCTGTATGTATTTGGGGTATCTTTCAGTCTAAATACAGCTATAATCACCGTACGTTGTATTCGGGGGAAGAAGGTAGTCATCATATACACGAACTCTCCTTCGTGGGTGTGGGAAAAAAAAAAAAAAAAAAAAGAAACTCTCCTTCATGGGTGTGAGAACTGTGTGGGAAAAAAAAAAAAAAAAAACTCTCCTTCATTAGTGTGGTGTCCTGATGATGATGATGTTGTGGAATGACGTGGATGGGTGGTTTCTGGTTTCTTAATGACAGGTGACGTTTTATTTGTTCCACTGGAAGAAAGGATCACCTTTCGCAGAGGATCAGGGTGCGTATGACAAGCTGACCTGGTGGGAACAGATGGACAGTGGCAGGCAGCTTACGCGCAACAAGAAGTTCTTCACGGTTTTGCCGGTTGCTCTGTATGTTCTGCTCCTCTCTGCCCCCCCCCCCCCCCTCTTGGTTTCCATACTCTTGCGTGGTTCGGTCTGTAGCCGTTTAAAGTACAAAAATTAATCACCAGAAAACAACACAACGATGTCTGATGATCGGACCCACATGCATGCCGATGATCTTTGTTGGCTCGGCAATCCGCTAATAATGTGGGAAACGCCTTTCGAAAGCTAATCTGTGGTAGTGTGTGTAGGAAGCAAGCAAACTCACCAAGGGTATGTTGTGGCCAATACTTTGGGGGAAAAAACACTGTTGATAGAGCCTTTTGTAATGAACCCAGTTTGCAATGCTTACCTCTCCAACGCTTGGCATGCAAAAATTCAACCTTGTGCAGTTTCTCGCGAATCTGGTTTTGTCTGAAGTTTCTGCTTTTTTTTTTCTTAATCTGATTGCTGAAAATGCCGACATTTATAAACTCTGCAAGATACACAACTCTCATTCGGTCTAGGACCGAGCAGTCCCACAAAAAATAGAACAAAATAGCATAATTTTTTGATTGTTATTCAGTCAGGCGTAGCACGGACAACTTCACCCCAATGCATTGCTTCTTTTTTTTTTTCCTTCCTTTTTTTTTTTTTTTCAGTTTTGCTGCTTCCGACTCTCAGCCTATTTTGGTGTGTTTTTGGAATATGTATGTGATCTGCCGCTGATGTACGACGAATGCCGTGTGCTTGCCTGGGTTCCAATCTGAAGTCTTGTGTGTCTGTGCTTCGGAAGGGGACAAAGGAGAGACACTGGTAGGACCAGGGACAGGATGGAAAGT